GTATATAATTATATATATATATATATATATATATATATATATACAGTATATTATACAGTATATTACAGTATAGTATGTACATATGAGTCTTTTTATTTAAAAAAAGATAAGAAAAGCGAATATTTTAAATCAGAAAGAAAAACTCTCAGAAAGTTTGTTGAATCTTTAATCTAATCTATTACTGTTCTCTATTATCTATTAATTTAATTTAAATTTAATTTAAATTTAATTTAATTTAAACAAAGATTATGTTTGAAAAAAATAACACTTTTTATATAATTTATATCAAATTTTAATTAAATTAAAAAATATATTATAATAAATCTGTTTTTAGTTTTTTTAAATTTTATTATATCATTTCACAAAATATTCCAATTATATAAATTCTATTAATATAATTAAATATTATTTTAAAAAAATTCGAAATTCGAAATGTATTCATCATAATAGATTGTAAATTATTATAATTATATGATTTACGTCAAAAATAAATTTTTTTTATTTTATATACATGTATGTATATATAATATATTTGTATATAATTTTTGAAACTTTCTTAAAATTTAAAAGTACTTACAACTCCCAAGAATAAGAGGACAGGATTGACGATCCATGGGAAAGTTTCGAAGTTCCATTGGACATTTTGCTTTTATAGTAAGTCTGTAATAAATATTAATAAACCTATTATATTCCAATTTTTTCAAAATTTATTAAGTGAATAAAATTTAACATTAAATATTAATATTTATATTTTTAATATTAAAAGCATAAATATTATAATAAAAAAAATATATTAAATTTAATTAAATTTTATTAAATCAATAAAATTTAAATTTAAATTTATTATAATATTTATGATTTCAAATAATGATAATATTCTCATATTTAAATAATCCATTCTATGTACTTATTATTTAAAATCCTATCGAATAATTTATGACAATTGTATTTTCAAATAATTCTTCATTCCAAATCTTAAGTTCAAAATATTTAATATTTTTATAAATTCTAATTGTACATTTTATATTATATTATAAAAACATAAAAAATATGAGATATAATTAATTGATATGGTAATAACCTCATAGAATACAGAATATCTCCATCTTGCGAGATTCTTAATAATTTATTTGGCACCGTGATGGTATGCACATAGCTATGTTTTCCATTATAAAAATACGTGTCTGGCCTCCAAATTCTTTCCAACATTTTGATGCTTAAACTGAGAGACTTTATTGGGCCTAAAAAGCTTAAACGAGAATCTCTCCAAGATTGTCGAAAATAACAATCCATTGAATAATCCTGTAAAAATAATTTTTATAAAAGTAAGAAACATTATAAAATTCAAATTATAAGAGAATCAATTATAGATTACTTTCAGTTTATACATATATATCAATAAATTCATATTTATTGATAGAAATTAATTAATATATAAATTAATAAAATAATTTTAGAAATATATAAAATAAATTTAAGAAAAATAATATTAAATATACAAAATGTTTAGATAAAGTAATTAAAAAAATTCAAAAATTAATTCTAGAAATTAAAGTACATAAAAGTTGATAAAATATTGCAAAAATATTCATTCAAATTTATTTTTCAAGTTATAAATAATTTAATTTTATATTAAATAATGTGACAGTGTCATAGAATAATTGAAATAATTGTATTTTCATCATGCTGCATCTACAGTAACGCAAAATTAAATTTTATAACTTAACTATAACTTAATTATAACTTACAATTTCAAACTAAACATCAAAAAACATTGTAGAACTTTTAATTTTTGCGTTTTCTTTCTAAAATAAACTCTTAAATTGTATTCTTTCTGTTTTGTCTTATTTCTTCATTCAAACACTCTTTAAGCAATAAATAAAAAATTAATTATTCAATTTTAATAGCTTTATAAAAAAGATTTCTGTTGCATAAAAAATAAAAAATTTTTTAAATAAAATAGACTTTTTTATTATTGTATAATATGATAGAATAATAGAAATCTATAGAAAAGAAATTGTATAATGTATAATGTAAAAAATATTAGAAATTGAAGAATCATTAAAAAATTATATACATACCATATCGAGTTCTGACACAGGACCCATGCTCCTTATTAAAATATTCGTTTTTACCACAGTTGGTGTTCCTGATAATCGAAAAATTGTAATCATATTTTTGACTATGAATTATAACTCCTTAATTATAAACTGAAAAAATTATTAATAATTATAATACATCTAATTTATATGCTAATATTTCTAGATTTATGGTAATGATTTAATATTGAATTACATTAAATTTTTTATGAGTTCTGACGATATGAATATTATTATTATATCTAATAATAATTAAATATCATTAATATAAATTATTTTGTTATAATATACATACAAATTTTTTAAAAATATAATTCATTTCTGTTAATTTATTGTTTTTTATTATTCTATCTTTTTTTTTAAAATTATTATTCTATAATTAAATTTAAGAAAACAGAAATTGAAATATATAAATTGTTATAAATTAAAATTGATCTGATATATTCTCTCTATAAAAATATATCAGTAATTATTTATAAAGGGATACATTCTATTGATTTCGATAACTTTAAAATATGTTATTTCAACGTTTCGAATGATCCAAATTTTAAGAGTTAATATAAATAATAAAAATATTATGTCATAATGATTCCTAGAAAACATTATGTTAAGCAGCGGTGAACCGTGATGAATCGTGATGGTCTCTAATAAGGTCATAAAATATTATTATTCTAATATAATAATATTATATTATTTAATATTATTTAATATAATATTATTAATAATATTATTATATTATTTAATATAATATTATTATAATAATATTACATTATTATATTACATTATACAGAGGTCAGATAATTAATTCAAAGAACAATCGCTAATTCTATGACATTAAAACAGTGTCAGTTTTTAAAGTAATTAATTTTTATTAATCTATTTCTTCTTATCTTATCTTATTAATATAGTCTTAGAATACTTTCGGAAATTATCTTTTACCAAAATAGATATAAAAGTTGATAAAAATATCTCTTGAAGCTTACTTATTAAGATACAAATACAATTGCCAACAGATTTCTTTTAAAGAGAATATGTTTTTTTCTTCAACATTTTTTTTGTTTTTTGTTATATATATATATATAATATAGTCAGTTTTTTCTCTTTTTCAAATAAAAATATATTGTATATAAAAGTCTGAATAAAAATTTTTAAAATTGATTTCATATTCATAGGTCAAGTGGATAGAATATTTCAAAATACATTGTGTTTTAAAATTATTAAAAATTTATCAATTTTTTTTTCAGTATCAAAATATAAATATGAAAAGAATATTTTCCATGATTTCGAATAGACAATGGATCAAAAAAGGAAATAAATTGAAAATTTTCTTTGTTTAAGATATTTTGAATATAATTTAGAATTATTTAAATATAAAAATATTTTTTGTTTAAAACTTTATAAAGAAATAAAAAGAAAAATGAAAAATTTTTATATCAAATTAATTAAATAAAAA